AATTGCTGGAGTTTTCCTTTTAACCTCTCTTAAGGCGTCACTCCCTCCTGTGAGTTAAGAGTGGTCCCGAGAAAATAAATGTCCACGTATACTTGGCACATTACTGAAGCCTCTGGTTTCAACACCGGACTCAGGGGACTTGATAGAAACTCGGTTATAAGGGACATTTAAAAACGAACTGCATCAAACACTGCCAGGTTTGAAATTACATGAAACCACCCTCCCAACAGACCTTGAATGATAAAATGGGGTTTTTCCACTGGCAATGTCTAGATTTTGTGGTAGTAATAAAATAATTTTTAGTAGCTTTATTTATTAGACTAACGCCTATTCTGCTGACCTTTGGAAATATTATAGTTTAGCGACTGAGAGTCATAAAAACAGAGACATCCTTAATAGTCTTGTGCAGTTGATTAAGTGGAATTTTTTGATATTTAAATATTTTGAAAGAAGAAATTCAAGACCATTTGATGAAAAAAACACACACAAAAATATGTAACCCTCAAAAAGATTACAGTTTCTAACTGTCTTATGTAAAAAAAAAAAAAAAATCCTATGAATGGAGATAAAAAATCCATACAATCTGCACTGGCCTCTCCCAGAGTAACTGAGGCAGAAAACAACAGCTCGTACTCTGACCCACAAGTCCAAGAATCAGACTCAATAAACGGTCGTGTTTCTTTTCCTAGTAGGATAATTACCTAAAATACATTTTGAAAAGTCTGTAATTATTTATTTACATGGTATTTCGTGATAACCTGCAGAAAAGCAATGACAATCTTTGTGCCAAGCCTCACAATTGTTTTGAACATCACAAATGCCATGGGTAAGAAAATTCTTGCAATGATAAAGACAATGGTCTGGGTTATCATCAGGCTTACTTGTCCTTGTCTTGCCATACTTGACTCTTTGATAGAATCGGAGTGAATTTTCTGTATAGTGAATATTCTTTTAGGATCACACAAGATGAAATGAGATAATGTACGAAATCCCTCAGGGGTGAAGGATGCTACTTAAACACAGATTGTTGTGTGAGAAGAAGTATGGGAGGGGAGGGGAATCAACCCCTAGAGGGTTTCTCTCACACTGTAATGTCTCCAGACTGGTTGCTGATAAGCAGCATTTGATTTTTATAATTCACTTGAGTATGAACTAAGCTCATTACAATAAGGTAAGCCCTATTAGTCAATTACAGGACAATAACTTACTGTTTGGTCAAAAACCTATGACCGCTGCTACTGTTTTTGTTATAATATTGAAGGCTACTCCAGGTTAAGGAAGTATCTCCTGAATCTTTGTATTGTGCCTATGAACTTCAAGACATCTGGCTTTGCATCTTCACTTGCAGGTTGTAAGGAGTGTGGGTAACACACCTTCACCATCGTATTTTTATTTATATTTGGCTTCCATGAGGGTGACTGCAGGGGAAATGCGATATAGCATCACTGTCATCACTGGAATTCATTAAGTTCTAGTATAAATGTAGCTACACTTGAAAAATTACTCAGAAGGAAGGATACCAAAAAAAGAAGTTGTAAAATTGGATTCTCTAACCATCTTTAAGTATATTAAATGAGGATCTTTCTTTGGAATGGTCTTGTAGGATGAAATGGAATTTCTTTAGGAACAGTTCTTTCTGAAAGATCCTTCTAGTTGCTTTTATTCCTACGATTCCTTGGAAAAGAACATGATCATTCCATTCTCCGATATTAGAATAGTTATTTTCTCTTAGTGCGTGATTGGCCTTTTGTGAATGGCTCACAACTGCTTTTAGCTCTACAAATATTCATTCTAAATCTATACAGTAATAGTTATAGCAAACATTGAGTACTTCTGTGTGCTAGGCATTATGTTCAGTGCTCTATGAATTACATCTCAGTATTAACTCACTTAAATACTTAAATATTTCAAGAGGTTTTGTTTTAAACATGGTCTGTGGGGGATCCATTGTGCAAAGCGAATAATCCTCGTTAAAGAGTTTAGATTTTTACCTACTTGACTCATTTAAGCTAGCGCTTGCCTGCAAATTCTATACAGATAAGCAATTTTTACAAAGCCATTTTAGCTTCATAATGATCAGCTACAATCTATTGAGCAACTAGCATGTGTGAGGCATGCTGCTTGCACTTTACATAAAGCACCTCATTTAATCCTCACGGTAGCCCTAGGACATTAATATTATATCCTTATTTTACAAATAAGAAAGCTACATTTCAGAGAAGTAAGAAACTTGCCTAATATGTGCATGAGCTGGGATTCAAACCTGGGTCTAAACCTCCAATCCTACTGTATAAGTAAGGACTTTGTTCTCACCCCAGATCATCTGAGACTGTTTCTTTATCCCCTTCAGATAGGGAGATGAGAACGGTTCTCTACATAAAAATCTGAACTGTTCTGGAAAGCATCTCAAAGAGGAAACACACACGACTGCTTGGAGATGGAAATGAAGGTTAATATTTTAGCTGTCTATGCTACGAAGATAGCATCCTGGACCTTAGGGACCGCTTTAGATATTGGGGGGGGGGAATCATAAAGACAGAAACTATGCAACTTGGCACCTTGGACCCTATGAGACGGGCTCCATTCCAGACAGGTCCCTAGGACCTAGGACTGGTCCCCAGGGAAGTGAAACGGGCACTCGTTCCAGCTGACTTGGTCCCCAAGCCCACCAAGCTGCACTCTGGGATGCTGGCACAGCCCAACACTCAAGAGCAAGGTCAGGTAAATCCAATCAGGGCTCCTCCAGTTCCCTGACAGTCCATATCTAGTTCTTTCTTCCTGTTTCCCAATATGCTGACAAGAGGGATTTTCTGCTCTCCTCCCTTGAATGTTTACACAGAACCTCCCACCCTGGCACCATGTCACTTTGCCAGTAACAACTCACAGAAATGTCTGGGGCAGGAGGAAAAATCTGGACTAAACTCAGTTTTAAACTAGTTTAGAGCAGAGGCTCATTCCTACCCTTGGCCTCAGACCAGTATATGACTGGATACGTAACCAGTTTCTGCTCCTACTGCCTCGTCTATGAAATGGGAAGAGTCGTGTTGTTATTAGTTTATGGAAGTGTTTTAAATAATTATCAGTGAGTTGACTCAAAGTAATCTAGCTATTCTAGATTACACATGTAAATGATAGACGATCATGCCTGCCCACGTATTCAGCATTGTTTCAGTGTTACTTTCAATGGTTTTCCTACTGAATTTTATGTGAATACACCTGGGTAAGAAGGTGCTGTAGATAAACGTCTCTAAAGCAATAATCACTCCCTGAGGTTTTTTTCCTCTAGGTACTGCCAGGGGACAAATAACAAAGTCTGCTTCAGCCACAGAGGGTTGGACAGATGGAAACCCCAGAGGACCCTAAACAGAAGCAAGTTTGCACAAATCTGTCCTGGCAAAGTGTCATTTTGGCCCCATGTAAAACAAAACAGGTCCAGTATAAAATACAGAAGGAATGACCAGAACTAATTCGACACCATCCAACACTGCCTTTGATCCCACATCAGCCCTCATTCTTCCCACTGTGCCTTACTCATCCTTTCCCGTGTCTTTAATTGATGTTTGCCTAAAGGAGGGAGTCATTCCTGTCAAGGGAAATGATAACTAAAATTCTATAGTCTGCACAATTCCCCAATAAATACCATGGGATTCATAAAAATAATAATAGCAGTCATAATGAAAAGTGGGAACATGGTTTTCCAAAGGGTTTTGTGGTTCTCCCTCCACCCCTCTTCTTTCCCTACTCACCCCTGCGGGAGTCCATCTGCTGTAGAAAATGTGAAGGGCACTAGGACCAGAGAGCCCTTTCCTGCCATTCGCTTGAGAAACAAAGCCTTCCCTCCTCCCAAGTGGAAAGAAAGAAAGGAGTCTGAACTAATCAAAACCTGCAAGCCTGCTGGTGGAGCTTCAGCTTGTCAGTGATGCAACTCAGCGGAGTGAGTAGCGGCTTCGAGCTTTGCAGAAAATGAAGAGAGGGAGAGAAACAGAGACAGAAACACAAAGAGAAAGAAAGAAAGGCATTAACCTGGCCAGGAGTTAAACAGGTGCATGGAGCCCGAACGCTGAGAAGAGCAGAGCGTCTGACACACAGAGGGGCCAACTGCATGTGCCTCAGTGGGGTTGCTTCTTTATTTACGGGGGCAGGGCTCTGGCCTGGTGTCAGGGCTGTACCGAGAGATCTTTTCCCTATTCACAGGACTCAGAGGCTTGGCCAAGAGCCTTTAGCTTTTCTCTACTTGCCCACGTGAAGTCTGTGTACACTTTCTGGCTCTCCACGAGGAATTCTCTCCACGACAGAGAGAGGAGGCCAGCTCGTTTGCCACACGCACATCCACCAGGAGCCACAGATCTTGGTGGTGCCTCTGGAATAATGGGTGTGTGAGCACTGGGGACGCCATGTTGAGAGCGACCACAGTGTGCTGGATGGTTCGTGGAGAGGCTACCTCAGTCTGGAATTGGCTGCTCAGAGGCCAACTCGGCCTTTTAAAAGACTCTTCCAGGCCTCACCTCACTTCAAATGACTAGCTTCTGAGAAGGATCTTAAGTTTGCTGGTGCTCTCTCTCAGAACCAGCCGGCCTGGACTTCTGGGGTTTAAGAGGCTCTAGAAATGGAAGGCTGTGCCATCAGTCTATAATCTGGTTTACAGGCAGATGTTAAGAAAAGAAAGGAACACAAGCAGAGGAAGGCCTGGCATAAGACCCTCAGGAGAAGGCCCCAGTTGAGACAGTGCCCACCAAAGGGGATACGATTCGGCAGGACTAAAACTGGGTGGCATTAAATAGCATCTTAAGAAAATTATGCCATCTCTGGTGGATTTTTAGTCTCTCAATTTAAAATGTTCAAGTACATGATAGCCCTATAATTCAGAAGACCCGGTCTGCCACTGTCATACCCTTGCCCCCATGCCTCCGAGAGAGAGTTCCTGTGAGCCTCGGCCCATTCTATGACCCCAGCCCCACCCCTGCACAGGAGGGGGTTTTCACTTAAAGTGTGGTCTTTACCTGAAATGCGCCTGGGCACGTCGGTGATGGCAGGAAGCCCCGTGCCCCGTGTGGAAGACAGCGGGGTGGTGGAGTGTATGGATGGGGACGTCATCTGGCTCAGGTAGGAGGGGTAAGACTGGTCATAGGACCACGGCGGGGAAGACTGGGCCTGCCTGGGGTCTAGGAAAAAGAAGAAAAATCTTTAGTGTACCAGCCAACTGTGGACTTAGAACATGCAACCCCAAACTGAGAAAGGAGAAAGTAAGAGAAAAGCAAGCATCTGTAAGGAGTATTCATTTCCTATGATCCTCCCCTTTCAGGCCCTGTATGGCACCAAACTTTCGAGACCTCCGACCTCCAGCACAACAACATGGATCGTGTATAAAGACTATTTCTCCCTCACATAAGTATTTCTATTTGGAAAGTCTAACACCCATTTATTTATTTACTTTTGAAATTTACTTATTTATTTTGAGAGAGAGTGCGTGCGTGAGCCAGGGAGGGGCAGAGAGAGAGAGGGAGAGAGAGAATCCCAAGCAGGCTTCAAGCTGTCAGCGTGGAGCCCAACTCGGGGCTCCAACTCCACTGGGCTTGAACTCACAAACCCGTGAGATCACGACCTGAGCCGAAATGAAGAGGCAGACGCTTAACTGACTAAGCCACCCAGTCGCCCCTCTAACAGCCACTTAAAAAAACAATCTGCTCCAGTTATCTTTACAAAGTTGAATTCTCCTTGATTTATTTTCTGTATTTACTCATGTTACTTCAATGAACACATATTACTCCTAATTTTCTTTTAAGTTAGAAATTCTTTGGAACAATCAACTTAGTTAAAGAACAGGCAGACTGTAGTTCTCCCTGCTGCACATCCAGCTGCTATCTTTCAGACATGCATCTTGGTTTATAAATGCATGATTCCATGACTTCACTTTCTTTCCAGGCAGGTCAAAGGATAGCACTTTCTAGCAGGGGGGTTAGAGGTAAGGGGTAGAGATGAGAAAGGAGGGAGCAACATGTAAAAAGAACACAAAGAAGGGGAGCCGGTTAGTTCTATGATTCTCATGCTGAAGCTACCCTAGAAAATAACCTTTAAGAAAGAGACAAGCTGAATTTCTAAGTCACCTGCCGTTAAGAACTGAAACACTTCATCACCATCCAGTTTTGGTGTTAAGCATAGGAGTTTCTGACCAAAAAAAAAAAAAATGACCCAAAACAGAAGAGCAGGGAGATGTCTTGATGTCTTTAATCCTATTGGAATCTGTTTAGAAGATGTCACATGTTTGGAATACAGCCTAGTGTTACCTATAGTCACTGTAATAGTAAAAATGGGTGGCCACTTGTTAGGGTTAACTGCTAAGCATTATCAGTATGTTTTTATGTATTTCTATGGGGTTTCTTGGAGGTACAAGCTCAAGTACCAAGTACAAGCCAAGTAGATTTATCAAAAGAGTTTCAGTCTACACAAGAAAAAAAGGTAAATTTGTTGTATATTTCCCATGTATATTTCAACCTGTTTCATTCTTACTGGAGGGCTAATCAAACAATCAAAAGCAAATTTCTCTTAACATTTTTTTTTACTAATTGTAAATTTTTTTTCTAATATTAAAAATTCTAACACACCAATTTAAAAATTCGAATACACTGGTTCACAAGACAACATTGTATATTAGAATGTCTGTGGACTTTGGAATGTGCAGATCCAGGTTCAAGTTCTGAGACTTCCATTTTCTAGCTGTGTGATCTTCGGTTAATTACTCAGCAACTCTGAGCCTCACTTTGCTCATCTGTAAAAGAGGGTGAGGGAGTAATAATCTCTGAATCACAGGGATGTGACAACTACATGAGAAAACCATGGAGAGAGGACTAGCACAAGGAGACACTCAGTACTGATTCTTGCCTTCTTCTAAAAAACCTCTTGGTGACACAAGAATAGTCCCACAGTTAAGACACATCTGAACTGACATTAATACATTTGGATTAGGCTTGAAATTACTCCCATATCACCTATCAGCTTCTGACAATGAAAGCTTAATTTTTTTTAAGTTTATTTATTTATTTTGAGAGAGACAGAGACAAGCATGAGCAGGGGAAAGAGAGAGGGGCGGGGGGAGAGAATCTCAAGCAGGCTCTGTGTCAGCACAGAGAGGGATATGGGGCTCGAACTCATGAAACCACAAGATCATAACCTAAGCTGAAACCGAGCGTCGGACGCTTAACTGACTGAGCCACCCAGGAACCCCCAAAAACTTAATTTTTTAAAACTATTAATATGTTTGAATAGTCAATTCAGGCTTATCTCTAAAAATAAAAAGGAGTATAACAAGACATGGGTATTTCTGAAATGATCCCTCTTTTAGAGCCTCTCAGCTCTTCCATGCAATTAAAGCCTGTCAGTTTCAGCTATTTCTTGTTTATTTGTTCAATTCAGAAACAACTTATTTAAAGGCTGTCTAAATAGGACATACTGAGTCAAAATAATTAAATACATCTGGATATCCATCTGATGCTTACTACATCAACAGACAGAAAAATTTCATCCAATTCCATTTTAGGGAACATTTACCTGAGTTTGCAATTTGAAAAAAAGTATAGTACCGTAAATGGTTCACATAAACTTTTCCTTCAGAAATCTAAAGGGGACTTGATCATTAAAGTAATGAACTTTTGTGCTTTAACAGGTTCAAGGCTGAGACTGTATAGATTGGCAACATTTCAAATCAGAGTGAGTGGTCCTTGTTATATATCTGATACTGACATACTTCCTCGCTTCAACCATTAATGTAATTCACTGCATTTCAGAAAAACGTAAATGACCTTCAGATGGAAAGAGATGCATTCCTTACAGCACCAGAAAGCAATCTCATAACGGCAAGGCCTTCTCTGAAGCCACATTTTCTACAGACAAAAAGGACAAGAATCACACAGATAAATGAGCTGGGCACACAGGACTCTGATTTGGACTGGAGTCCTAATCTGTCTTTACCAGATGACTCCCAGAGTAAGTAGGTTAACCTGTATGCCCATCCCTCTACTGCAACATGCTGTCAGCAGTAGGATAGGACTCCCTGCCTAAAACTGGGGAAAAATACAAAGAAATGTAAAGAATGACTGAAACTATTTATGTTTAAACGTATCACAGAAGCCTTAGGGAACTTAATTTGGATACAAGATGCAGCCTTTCAGTTCTTGTGCAGAGGGGCAGCCGAGCACAGGGGGAATAAGTGGGGTTTCTAATGCAAGGATAGGAGCTGGAGCCCCAGTTCTGCTTTCTATAAGCCGCATGACCTCAGCGGTGTTAGCGAACTCTCTCTGAACCTCAGTTTCCTCATCTGGAAATGAGGGAGCATAACATGCCAGTGAATGTAGCAAAATGGTCATAGGCACTGGCTGGGTAGACAAGCCCCCTATCTGGCTGAGCAAGTCACTTCTCTCGGGCCTCAATAGCTCGTTTGTAAAATTCGAATAATGATGCTCATTAGGTTTGCTGTGAGCCTTTCACAAACGTGCCTTGATGTGATGAGTTATCTGGCAGTCTTGGTATGCATTAACTGCGTAATAAACAGAGGAGTGATTACTGCTTTCTGTAAAGTGAGTATGATAGGAACTACTATCATTTTTGTTACAAAATTAAATGAGATAATATAACTAAAAGCATTTGATACCTCTCAATTTTTGCTATATTAAAATTAGAACTCTTCTCTTGAGGAGCTCACATGGTCAAGGCCCTGCTGCGTGGCAAGAGGCATGTTTCTTAATGTTACTAAGCTTTAATCTCTTCACCTGTAAAATGGGTATGATAATACTATCCCAGAGTTGTTGTAAGGATTAAATAATATACAGTGAGTGGCAAATCATCACTATCATTCAAAAAAATTAAAAATCTGACTCCAAACTACCCAGGGTGGTTGGGCTGTCTAGCATTGTTCTTTAAGTTTTCCAAAGTCAGACTCAACACAATTCATTGTGATGCCCGGAACACAGTAAGTGCTCAGTAAACAAACATGGAATGAACCTCCCAGGGTGGCATGAGTGAAGAATGAAATCTTATAATGAATTAGTAATTAGTCATTCTTTAACTTCCCATCAGGCTATACAAGAAGTTGTATCAGTGAGGTTTTAATTTTTACATAAAGTCCCTGACTTCCAAAACTTATACTAGAACAGTCCATTAAAGGACAGTTTGGCTTTTAGTGGAGATCCTTCCTGAAGATACCCAAGATTAGCAAAAATAACATCTCACTATCCTTAACAAGTGAGGTCTCTCTTTGGTTTTTTTGTCTCAGAGGGCACATTGCAGAGTCCAGCTGATTTCTTTCAAGGTCACTGTCCTCAGAGTCTATGATAATGACCTACTTAAGGAGAGAGAGTTACTACAGAAAAAATAAAAGAACTACCATGTGGGGTCACTGTATTTAATATAAATAGTTTTAAAAGGGGTGCCTGGGTGGCTCTCTCTGCCCCTCCCCCACATGCTCTCTCTCTCCAATAAATAAACTTTAATAATAACGATAATTTGAAAAGTGGACAGCAGTCTCTTTAAAAAAAAAAAAAAAAGTAATGGTCCCAAAATATCCCAGGCCTTCTCTAACACCCTGTGAATGATATCATCAATCCCAGCTCCACTATTTCTGGCCTTGTGTGATCTTAACTGATCCAATCTTCAAGTTTCCTAGTCTGTATAATGGAGATAAATAAGTACATCTTCTTTCTACAGTTGTTATCAAGACAAAGTAGTAAAGAGTGAGCACATGGAAAGAACCCAACAAACGTTCAACACTGTTAAAACCTCTACCTTGACTGAATCTTCACTGTGTATTTATGTTTCCAGCTCATAATCTCTTATTCTAGTGGAGGACAATTCTTAGGAAGCTTCTACGGTTTTGAAGTCCAGTATTTGGAGAATATATCCATGTTGGTCATGCCAATATCCTTTCCAAACATTTAACCTTTAATCACGTTCTTTCTTAGTCTTGGTTTCTCCCAGACCAAAAAATCCTAATCTGTTTTAGTGTATTTTTTAATGCTATACCCCTTAACTTTTTTCAAACCTTTAGTGCAAAAAGGCTACAAAACACCTTGACTTTCTAAATGCCCAGTCACCAAGAAAACATAATCCTATCATAAATATATGATTATAGCTTATTTGCTTTGTTTTGGACAATTATTAATGCTTACAGTAG